TCTCTCTTTTTTTTTAAGATTTTATTGGGGAATTGGGGGAGGGACCAGTGTTGGAGAATTGAGGAAGGGGAACATTGTGTTTTTCCAGGACCCGTCAGCTCCAAGTCAAGTTGTTGTCCTTCAATCTTAGTTGTGGAGAGCGCAGCTCAGCTCAAGTCCAGTTGCTGCTTTCAATCTAGTTGCAGGGGGCGTAGCCCACCATCCCATGCTGGAGTCGAACCGGCAACCTTGTTGTTAAGAGCACACACTCTCACCAGCTCAGCAGCAGCTCAGCTTGGGTGCAGCTCACTGGCCTATGTGGGAATCGAACCAGCGACCCTGTTGCTCAGAGCTCGTGCTCTAACCAGCTGAGCCACTTGGCCAGCCCTGGCCCACCGTTCTTAATTACTCACCATCCTCCCAGCACCCCAGCCCCACTGTGCCTCTCTGCCTTTTGCATGGGGCAAATTCTCATTCTGCGCCTTCTCCTTGAACACATATTCCTCTCCCATCACTCTAGACTCAGTCTTCACGGCACACCTGCTGCTCTATCCCCGCATCCGTGAAGCCATGCTGGAATGTTCCAGAACTCTTCCCACTTACTGCCTTCAGGGTTTTCACCCATGCTATTATCTCCTTGTTATTTATCTTTATATTACCTCCCATTTCTTTGCTCCCATAAACAGGTATCAAAAGAAAATGTGATGTCAGGTGAACTGGTATGAAATGGAGAGGTGGTGTGTGCCACAGTGGTGAAAATAGAGACTTGTGGCCAGCCCGCCTCGGTTCAAATCCCAGCACTGCCATTTGCAGGCTGTGTGACCTTGGGAAGTTTACTTAACCTTGCTGGGCCTCAGAGTCCCCACCTGTGAAATGGAGACAATAATAACAGTACCCACCTCATGGGGTCTTTGGGAGAATTAAATTAGTCAATATTTGTAAAGCATTTGGAACAGTGACATATAGTAGATGTTATTTAAGTGTTTCCTGAACCAATCAACTTTTCCTAAAACTACATACAGTGAAATGTAAAAACTAGACACAAGGAAAACAAAAGACAGTAACTGTTAGAAAGATCCTGTCCCCTGCCTGAGACACCTAGGACTTGAGATCTTGTTTGCCTTTGTTTAAAAAGCAAGATCAAAGAGTCTCCAAGGAGTGTTGAAGACATATGAGCACCAGCCTGAGATTCTCACCCCCTCCATCATCAGAGGATTGAAAGAAGGTTGAAAAAGGTCCACTAGGGGCCCAGGGACATTTAACACCATCTAAGATACGCTGGGAAACATCAGCCTTGAACAAGGAAGGATTCTGTCTCATCCTGCGTCCACAGTACCAAGTGGGAACTCCGCCCCATCCCCCTGTACTCCCTGCCTTGAATCCATTTCTTTCTGGGTCTTCCCACTTAAGCTGACTCCGGAGAGCAACAGCAGCTTACTCATCAGGATGCACACGAGACCACCAGGTATGCCTCCTGAGTGAAGGACAGAGGGTGCTCTACAGGGCTTCCTGCTCTAGGAGTCCCTGCAGCAGCACCCTACTTCTGCTACAGAGAAGGGAAGAGCACCTGGCTTGAAACCTGCCAGGTCCCAGCTGG